GATAAACAATGGATATCATACAGAGATAAAGGGATTCCATATTTAGCAAAAGAAAACAAAATTTCTGAGGTATGAAAACCCTAAGATTCCAAATTCTTAATTCAGGGTTTCCTTATAAAAAGAAAACTATTTAAAAAGCTGCATTTTTAAAGAATTCAATCTAAGCAAAGGATAGAAAAATAGCATAGCTCATTTATTACAAAGAAGCAGATAAGCTCTTCCAGTTTTTGTCAGAGTGTTGACATTAGGTCACTAAACATTTTTTGTCAGTCATCAATTCTATTTAGAAAAGCTTTCATTAATGTTTTTACAGCAAAACAAAGGATTAAAAAAAAACCCTTAGACAAATATCCCAACTGATTAGGAGGCCAGAAAAAAATGATTTATCATATTTTAAAGATATCTATGTTAGTTAGCTTTTTGTCACTGTGACTTAAATACTTGTCAGTAATAACTTTTGTTTTGGTTCACAGTTTCATGGTCAGTCCACTCCATGCTCTGGGCGATGTAAGGCAGAACGTCATAGCAGAAGGGGCCAGCCAGAGGAAAGCTGTTTGGCTCATGGCAGCTAGGAAGCAGAGAAGCAAGGGGATGAGGCTTCAGGGAAGATAAACTCTTCCAGGGCATAATCCCACTGACCACCCCATCCCAGCCACACACCATCTGCCCATAGTTTCCAAGCAGTTGGTCCATTCAAAAGCTCTCAGCTGTGAGCCTCTGTAAAAAGCAAAAGCAAGTTACATATGTCTAATATATAATGTAAGAGTAAACATTCTCAAGCCTGCATCTCCAAATGTTTCTAAATTTATTCTACAAACCAGTTCCAAAGGCTTTTGAATCACATGGTCATGTTACTTACAGCAACAACCCCACTTTTTGGTATGCACTTATGTGTGTGTTAGGTTTTCATTGTTATAACCAAAATACCTGGCTCATAGTATCAGAGGTTCAGTTCATAGTGGACTGACTCCATTGCTCTGAGACCATGATGAGGCAAAACATCATGGTTGAAGAGATTGGTTGAGGAGCACTGCTCTTTTCATGATGGCCAGAATACAGAGAGAGCAAAGGAAGGGGCTTAAGGGAAGATGAACTCTTCCAGGGCATGCCCTCACTAATGCACCCACTCCAGCCATGCCCCACTTTCCCACCGTTACCAGGAAGTTAGTCCATTCAAATTAGGATGGACTTATCAGGTTACAGCTATTATAATCTAAACATTTCTCCTCTGAATATTCCTGCATTAACAGAGGACCTTTTGGAAGACAACTCATATCCAAATCTTAACAAAAGCCTTACTATCAATAAGTTCAAATTAACTTGTCACAGATTTACTAAAGTGTCAATCAAAAGGATTTGGGGTAACTTATAGGTTATAAATTATGTTACTTATCTATAAGCCACTTCAGTATCATGCAAATAAATAATATATAAGCAGGTGCACACAAGAAAATCTCAAAATTTAAAATTTATATTTGCCATTTTAAAAGTCTGACTGTTATCTGATATAGCTTTAAGCAATCTGCAAATCTTAACTTTGCATTTTCAGTTGAGGCCAGATAGAAAATTTACATCTCAAAGACTCAGACCAACAAACTGGAATAACCAATTTCTTACTGGGGTGGAAGGACCCTTAGATAAAATTAAAAAGCCTTTAATCAAACAAAACAAAAATTTATAACTTAAGCATGCAGAATTTTAAAAAGTAAACTCATGAGTTCAAATTAAAGTGGATCTTTTTTTGGGTGGGGGGTACCAGGGATTGAATTCTGGGCACTAGACCAATGAGCCACATCCCCAGCTCTACTTTGTATTTAGAGACAGGGTCTCATTGAATTGCTTAGCACCTTGCTTCTGCTGAGGCTGGCTTTGAACTTGTGATCCTCCTGCCTCAGCTTCTCCAGCTGCTGGGATTACAGGCATGTGCCACCATGCCCGGTTTGGATAGATTTTGATAGAGGCTTATCTGGTGAATGATACAAGGAGCTTGGGAAATGTTTTGGGTCAATAAAGTGTACTTGGAAAAAAGCTCCCAAACACCTAGGGGTGAATGGGGCAGTTAAAGGTACAGATGTTCTTGCTGTCTAGGGGTGCTGGGTTCATTGTCTCCATTCAGCAAAGAACAGGACACAGAAGAAGCAAGCAAGAAGTATAGGTTTATAGTAGAGGAGACAGAGATACAGATAGACTTCTCTGAAGAAAAGTGGCCCCAGAACTGGGAATCTGGTGGGGGAGTTTTGGCCAGTTCTTTTTATAGTCTCTCGAATTTCCTCCTTTCCCTGTCTCTTCCCCTGTCCATGCACTCCTCACTATTTCTGATTACTGCCCCCTCTGTCCACATGTCTGTTTTATTTTTTTTTCTATTGGATCTCCTGCTTAGGAGCATGAGTACAGAAGTATCTGTCTGAATGGATCCCCCACTTGTGTCCAGGAGCACTTTCGTCAAGCAGGAAGTTGACCTCATTGGAAGACTCTCTTCCTGCTCTTTTTTTCTGGCCCTGCCCCCAGTCTTCTCACTCACCATCTTGCTCTGGCTGCCTATGCCCTTCTACACATCCCTTAAGGTGATCAGGACCTTCGTTATATGCACCTTCCAAAAGAGCTGCCCATAATTCCTTCCAACCCAGGAATTGCATATGCTCTTCTGAAATGGAATTCCCTATTTTAGTAGATTAATATGTTGCTGCAGACATCAGTGTTAGCCTGTTAAGCCAATCACCAAGTAACCAATATATAAAATAGTTACATTATCTCAGCATGCATTTTTAGATATATAAGCAATGTTATAATCTTTTTCCAAACCAAAACCCAACCTAAAAGAGCTCTCCAAACAAACCAGTAGAATTACTAAGAAATTTTCATCCTTCAAATTTAACCTCGTCAACCAATACCCTGCAACCAAATGGCTTATCTAAGCGCCAACACAGAATGACCCACTCAAGGTCCAAAGACTCAAAGAGCGAAAATAAAATTCTCCGTGTGCACTCTGATGAGGACAACCAGTGGGAACCTGGCATTTGCCAAACTAACCTTTTTCCCCCTTACCAACAAATAATTTTTAGTGCTTGAGGCTATAGCAAGAAATTGGGGGGTTGTGGGGGGCATGAATCCCAGGATATAAAAGTGTCTCTAGGTGGCTTCTGGGATTTTCCTTGAAATTCTAACTGTAGGTTTGGCAAGTCTTGAGTGGTCGAGCTCCCTCCTCCTTATGGATCCTTATGGATCACTACAAGCTTGAGCTATGTTGCTCAAGGGATGATCCTTGCTGGCAGTTCACTGCTCCACAAATGCTTAGAGTCATGCTGGCGAGTAAATAGCCAACGTTGAAGGAAGAGACATTTTCTATCTCAAATCTCCATTTTCAGAAAACTCAAGGGTAAAGAAAGCTTTTATAAGAGGCAAAGTGGGACAAAAGGCAGGAAACATACATCTGCAGATTTAGTTAGCCAGAGAATCTGACATCAGCTGGAGGGAGTTTTTATTTTCTGTATGAGGAAGTTCAGAAGTTATAACAATTTGGAGCTTTAATATCAAAGGAGACTGTTTTGAATCTTGGAGACAAATAAGTTAGCAGGAAGTTGCCTTTAATTTCAGAGGAAATCTGTTTTTTTAAACACTTTTGTTTTTATTTATTTATTTTTATGTGGTGCTGAAAATCGAACCCAGTGCCTCATGCATGCTAGCCAAGGGCTCCACCACTGAGCCACAACCCCAGCCCCTCAGAGAAAGTCTGTTTTAAGCCCATGATGGCATTCTGCTTCTGAACGCATAAGGAGATTCAGATTCTGCAGACCTTGGGTGAAGCTTGGGTCCTTCTGAGTACATTTTACAAAGGGCTCTTCTGTGATTTTGTATTAATCCCTGGCTAAAAACTAGTGCTTTGCTATCCAAAGAAAGGAAGTCATAGGAAGGAGAACCACAGCTACATGAACCATTTTAAAATCCATGACTATTATGACAAAATGTTAGCATTATGGAATCTGAGCAGTAATATGAACAGTTATAGTACTCTTTCAACTTTTTTCCATGCTTGAAAATTTTCATGTTTTTGGGGAAAAGTGTAAAGAAAAAAATAGGTTACAAAACATGATTTTAAAATATATAGGTATGCAAAAATCACCATATTTTAGTGATTTCAAGATACCACTAATGTTAAGACATCCGACTAAGAAAGAAATATTGCCAGTAATTAATTATTGCTTGCAAGCTTGGGTTATCTGAGTTCAGACACGTTAAAATATGAAATACTGTGCATCTTGCAGTCGATGAAATATGAAAATATAGGCAAGGCTTTGAAGTTTTAATTACCTAAATGAGTGGTACAGATAACCAAATACATTAGAAATTATTAAAAATTTATGTTATATAGAAGAATCGGAGTAAAATTTTTGAAAAGACAGAATTGCCTCTTGAAAGTTATCTAGATTCTGAATAGTGCAAAATATGGAGGACAGCAGGGCTGTGTGGGTATGGAACATGAGAAAGGATTTGGCATTAATAGTAAGTATTTTTAGAGGCAGTAGCTCACACAGGAGTAGAGATAATTGTGTTGAAGGACTGTGAATACAAGCTTGGATGGATATACTGGCAAACCCAGATTGGGCAATGATTTTTTAGAGTTTTGTTTTTTTCAGGCTAATTATTCAAGATTTTTCTGTCATTCACTGAGAATGTGAATTCAGTGTTGTTGTAAGACTTGAGTCTAGGAATTGCACTGTTGCATTTCTTCCTAGGTGGAAACAGGATAAGTCAGGTACAGTCCACATGACCATAATGTCTCCAGAGCTGATGTAAAAGTTGAGGCAAGAAACTGAGGTGTCAGGGTTAAGATGGATATTGGCAACAAAAAAGATAGTAGGTAGAAGTTTAGTAAAAGATTTTTTTTCTAGGCTAGGGACTTTGCTAAAATGAGGTAAGAGTGTCATATAGCAGGGTATTTCTAAAGAAGATCCATTCCCTAATTTCAGTGTATCAAGATGATTTATTGTACTTCTTTCTAGAAGTCTGCCAAGTTGGTGAAAAGATTGAGAGCCAGCATCAGGATGACCAAGATCAATGTCTCTTGATGCAAGTTGGATTCCCTGACAAGAAAATAATGACTACCAAGAATGGCCACGACTGTAATGAATTTGGAAACACTCTTCATCTGAGTACAAGCCTTGGTATTCCAATACAAAGACCTCATAAACTTGAAACATTTGGAAATGATATGGTAGATAATGTAGACTTATTTAGAAGTGCTGTGGAAAAGAAACACGATAATGGGTGTGCAAAATTATTCTTCCATACTGAGTTTGAGAAATCAAATCCTGTAGTGAAGCCCTATGGATATAAAGAATGCGGGAAAGTCCTCAGGCGAAAGAAAGGTCTTAGTCTTCATCAGAGAATTAAAAATGGAGAGAAACCATTTGAATGTACTGCATGTCGGAAAACCTTCAGCAAGAAGTCACACCTCATTGTCCACTGGAGGACTCATACAGGGGAGAAACCATTTGCATGCACCGAATGTGGAAAAGCTTTTAGCCAAAAATCTCAGCTAATTATACACCTCAGAACTCATACAGGAGAGAGACCCTTTGAGTGTCCTGAGTGTGGGAAAGCCTTCAGAGAAAAGTCAACTGTCATTATACACTACAGGACTCATACAGGAGAGAAACCTTATGAATGCAATGAATGTGGAAAAGCCTTCACTCAGAAGTCAAACCTTATCGTTCATCAGAAAACCCACACAGGAGAGAAAACCTATGAATGCACTAAATGTGGGGAATCTTTCATCCAGAAGCTTGATCTGATTATACACCACAGCACTCACACAGGGAAAAAACCCCATGAATGCCATGAATGCAAGAAAACGTTCAGTGACAAGTCCACCCTCATTACGCACCAGAGAACTCACACAGGAGAGAAGCCCCATAAATGTACGGAATGTGGGAAGTCTTTCAATGAGAAGTCGACCCTCATTGTACATCAGAGGACACATACAGGAGAGAAGCCCTATGAATGTGACGTGTGTGGAAAAACCTTTACCCAAAAGTCAAATCTGGGTGTGCATCAGAGAACTCACTCTGGAGAGAAACCCTTTGAGTGTAATGAATGTGAGAAAGCCTTCTCCCAGAAGTCCTATCTCATGCTACATCAGAGAGGTCACACAGGGGAGAAGCCCTATGAATGCAATGAATGTGAAAAGGCATTTTCCCAGAAGTCCTATCTTATTATACACCAACGAACTCATACAGAAGAAAAACCCTATAAATGTAATGAGTGTGGCAAAGCCTTTCGAGAAAAGTCAAAGCTCATTATACACCAAAGAATTCATACAGGAGAAAAACCCTATGAATGTCCTGTATGTTGGAAAGCTTTTAGCCAGAAGTCCCAGCTCATAATCCATCAGCGAACACACACAGGAGAGAAACCCTATGCATGCACAGAGTGCGGCAAAGCCTTCAGGGAAAAGTCCACGTTCACTGTCCATCAAAGGACTCACACTGGAGAGAAGCCCTATAAGTGTACAGAGTGTGGGAAAGCCTTTACCCAAAAATCCAACCTTATTGTACATCAGAGAACCCATACAGGAAAAAAGGCCCATGGGAGAGGCCAGACCCGGAAGTCAAAGCTCACGGCACACTAAGGAGTAAAGTGAGTGTCTGTTAGGTACCCCAAAGGAAAGTTGTGTCAATTTACTATTTTAAATGTACGTTCTGACTTCTGGTTTAAACACAGGGAGTAAAGTTGGCCTTTCTTCTTTTTGTCTCAGTTTTCACCCAAGAGCAGCAGGAGAAAAAGAAGCAAAAGTGTGAGCTCCATATGTGATAAAATTAGGAGACAACTGCTACCAGAGGCCTCCAGAGGCAGAGGAAACCAAGACCCAGTGCAGGGCCACAGATGAGAGGCAGCATGGGTTAGGACTCTAAGCAGAGGGTCCTGATACACTCCAAGGTACAGCATCACAGGCAGCTGTAACCATGGTAACAGAGTGCATGAGCAGGTAGGAGGCTTCCTAGACTATTTGGCATCTGAGGAGAAACAGGCAGGGGCCTCAACAAGGAGATACGCAGACAAGCCTTATTTACAGAAAGTAGCCTGTACTGATAGGAGGAATAGTTGTGGGCACCTTGGAGAAAAGAAGGGACTTTTCCTTGTGAAGAACCCATAGTATCTCCTGTTTAGTGACTTGGGAAAAGTAAAGTGAAAGAACTAACAAATGTGTGTGTGTGGAGCTCATTTGTTAGAAAAACTGATCTTCCTAGAATATATTCCTGGTATCTTCCCAACATGAACCTCCAGCGAATAGCAAGTCCAGGAAAAACTTTTCATTCAAAGAGAATATTTCACAGAAAATCAAAACCACAAATGTTTTCCAAGACATCAACTCAACTTCAAGATTGTCAAAATGATGAACACACAGAGGTGTTTGTTGATGCACTGTTTGCGAAAATATTGGAAGCTGTCCAAATGAAATCCCCAGATTCTGCTTCCTGAAATTGTGATGTATTTGTACAACAGATTCCTAAGTAGAAAAAAATGATAAAGAAACTTGGATATCATTTATGTTACTGATGTGGAGCAACCTCCAAATTATTAGGGAAGAAAAGCAAGATACAGCATAGTATGTCACGATGTGTATATAAAGAGGGAAAATGGTAAGTACATAATTGTATATACACAAACCATTTCTGAAAAGAGATACAAGATGCTGATAACCTTGATTCCCTTGGGGAAGGGGCAGTGGGTGCTGAGGGCAGGGAACTGGGAGGGAGATAGCTGTGTATCCTTTCATAGTTTTAGAAAACTGTATTATGTGGATGTACTGCCTTTTCAATGAACAAATAAAATTTTAAAAAGCATAATTTTGTTCTGTTGTAATGAAGTTGGAGTCAAGACATAGCTTATTGACATTTAATATCAATAAGCTCAATATGGAATTTCTTTTTGTGACATTGCAGGTGAAACCTAGGGCCACAAGCATGATGTGACAAGTGCTCTAACTGATCTATGCTCCCAGCCATGAAATTCAGTTTTTTTGAGTGGATAAACAGAATAATCAGACAGAACAATATTAAATTCCTAAAGCACATAAGCATTATTTTCCTGAGGGTGCAAATAATTGATTCTCACGCCAGCTGAGACCATACTACCTAAACCTAAAGTAACTGAGATTGGAAAACATTTCTTCTTTAGTATGCACAGTGACATCTGTGAAAAGATTCTGTGTTGGGCTGGGGATGTGGCTCAAGCAGTAGCGCGTTCGCCTGGCATGCGTGCGGCCCGGGTTCGATCCTCAGCACCACATACAAACAAAGATGTTGTGTCCGCCGAGAACTAAAAAATAAATATTAAAATTGTCTCTCTCTCTAAAAAAAAAAAAAAGATTCTGTGTTAATGCTCACCACAGCCTTTCCATATCTTGAAATGATTTAAATTGCCCCCCACACATACTTTTTTTTTATTTTGGGGTACCAGGTATTAAACTCAGGGGCATTCAACCACTGAGCCACATCCCAAGTCCTATTTTGTATTTTATTTAGCTTAGCGCCTCACTTTTTGCTGAGGCTGGCTTTGAACTTGTGATCCTCCTGCCTCAGCCTCCTGAGCCCCTGGGATTACAGACAAGCACCCCCATGCCTGACACACACACACACACACACACACACACTACTTTAACAAGAGGTATAAAAGATCTACAGAGGGCTTGGGCTGTAGCTCAGTGGCAGAGCACTTGCCTAGCATGCGTGAGGCACTGGGTTCAATCCTCAGCACCATATAAAAATAAACAAAGGCATGTTGTCCATCTACAACTACAAAAAATTTTTTTAAAAAAAGATCCACAGAGATGTTGTGTAACTGCTCCTGTGGTCACACTGCTGCTAGTGGCACATATTTCCTGGGGTGAAAGACAGATTGAGTCCCACGGTCTGAATGACCATGACCAAACCCACATCACAGGATATTTGCTCTAGAACAAGAGGTCCTGCTTGTGAATTACAGTAGTTGTGTCCTCATGACAATGTAGTTACTCACAAGGGCCATCTTTGGTGGAAGTGGGCGAGCTAAGGTATGTAAAATCTGGGGATGGGCAAGGTTTGAGTTTGTTAATATAGGTGGGTAAGTTAGACCTGAGACAGTCTATGCCCTCCTGGTCTTCTTTTTCCCATGAAGTATATTGTAAGAAAATAAACCTTGGACTCCCCCACTTTTTTCCCCATTGAACTCTAAGTTAGACATAACCCATTCAGTGCCTTGCAGGGAGAGGAAATATAGGGCTGACTGGCTTGCGCCTGATGAAGTCTGCTAGAAGATTCCCAAAGGCCCTGGAAACAAAGGCATCTTCCTAATGGTGGAGTATCTTCCTGGGGTTTTACTAAAGAGATGGAGGAGAGTTGGATCTCACCATTTCCCATGAATATTGGATTCCTGTTTCCTGGGATACAAATAACTGATGAATCGAGGTAAATGAGACACAGGCCTAGAGGGAAAGGGATGGGGATGGACTGCAGTATGTGAATAAATGGGCTGAAATGAGGGGAAAGAGAGAGAGAAGGATAATAAAGGACCAAGTGTGGTTGAATGGGGTATAATGAGGGGCTTGGTCTTGGTCAATATGAAATAATGGGGCAGGGAGGGGGAAATACCCAGTGGAGGGAGGTACTAGAGAAGGAACAGCAAGTGCCAGTGCACATGGGTCATGTTTTGGAGATAAGACTGAGTGGACAGAATGAATGTTGGTGATGCAAACAAAGTGGAATAAGTGGAGTGGTGTGAGGCACTGTGAGAAAGAGGGTGGTGGATATAGTGGAGTGAAAGGCAGTTCAGGCAAGTGACAAAATGTGGTGTGACACTACCTATGTATAGCACTTCTTATGAGTCTCTTCCAACATTGGTTTCATTTTCTTTTCTTTCTTTTGTTTATTTGTACTGGGGGTATTGTGAACACAAAGGTGCTTTACTACTGAGATATACTCCAGCCATTTTTATTTTGAGACAGGGTCTTGCTAAGTTATGAGGGTCTTGCTGAGTTGCTGAGGCTGGCCTCAAATTTATGATCCTCCTGCCTCAGCCTCCTGAGTTGCTGGAATTACAGGTGTGTGTCACCATACGCAGTCCATCTTATTTGTTTTCATTTCCCCTAGTAGATAAATAATAGAGAAAAATCAAAGCTAGTTCTTTGAAGAGATTAATAAAATCCCAAATTCCAGTCAGGAAAAAAAAAAGGAAACAAATTTTCAAATGTACTTGATACAGTGGACTTTACTATAGTATAAACATTTAAAGGGATTCAAGAGGCTGAGAAAGAATGATTGCAAGTTCAAAGCCAGCCTCAGAAAAATTGTGAGGCCCTAAGCAACTGAGTGAGACCCTGTTATAAAATACAAACTTAAAAAGGGATGGGGAGGGTTGGGAATATAGCTCAGTTGATAGAGTGCTTGCCTCGCATGCACAAGGCCCTGGGTTCAATCCCCAGCACTACACACACAAACATACAAAGGGCTGGGGATGTAACTCAGTGGTAAAGCACTCCTAGGTTCAATCCCTAGTACACCCTCCAAAAAAAGGATAATATGGGAATTATGAAAAAAGATTTATGGCAATAAATTTGATAACATAGTCAATGTAATCATATAGTAAAGGTCCATAAAGAAAAAAGGGATTTCATAAAATTTGAAACCCATTCACAATATAAACATTTTAGCAAACTAGGTACAGAATTAGTCTGGTGGTAGTATTTTTTCTGTTTTAAAAATATTTTATGTTTTGCCAGGCATGGGGTGGTGCACACCTCTAATCCCAGCATCTCGGGAGGCTGAGGCTGGAGGATTATGAGTTCAAAACCAGTCTCAGCAAAAAATGAGGCGCTAAGCAACTCAGTGAGACCCTGTCTCTAAATAAAATACAAAATAGGGCTGGGATGGGGTTCAGTGGTTCAGTGCCCCTGAGTTCAATCCTCAGTACCCCCTAAAAATATTTTTACTGGTGCATTATAATTATGCATAATAGTGGGACTCCTTATGCCACCTAAGTAACTTGATATTTTCTTTCCTTCATCCAAAACTCCTCTTTCATTCATAAAGAGTATTTTTTAAAAATGTAGTCATGCCTGGGTGTGGTGGAACATGCCTGTAATCCTAGCTACTTGGAAAGATGAGACAGAGGGATCATAATTTGTGGGCCAGCCTCATCAACTTAGTGAGACCCTGTCTCAAAATAAAAAATAAAAAGGGCTGGGGATATAGCTCACTGGTAGAACACCCTGGGTTCAAATTCCAATGCAAACAATCAAAAAACTATAGTAATACTTAATGGTGGGGCTGGGGTTGTGGCTCAGCAGTATAGCACTCGCCTCGCACACGAGAGACCCTGGGTTCAATCCTCAGCACCACATAAAAATAAATAAACAAAATAAAGATATTGTGTCCATGTATAACTAAAAAAAATTAAAAAAACCTTAATGGTGACATGGGAAAATCTTCACTGCTGTGACTATGAAAGAGACAAGCATGCTTGTTAGGCCCACATCTGTTCAACATAATACTGAACATGTGAGGCAGTGTGATAAAGCAAGAAAAAGCAAAAGGAGCAATGGCTGGAAATGAATGAATAACTTTCAATCTCTGTAGATAGGATATACATAGCCAATCCAAAGGATCCATAGATAAATTATTAGAATAATTTATCAAGGTTGTTAAATACAGCTCAAACTATATAAATTGTTTTTCCTCTAACAACAACAATCAGAACAAATACTCTATCCCTTTGACAAGGAAGAACAAAGAGAAGAAAATGATGGGGCCATTTAATGGTGAGCCTTGAAAGAAGTTGAAATTTGGGGAAGGTGGTATCAGATTGTAAAACACAAGGCGAAAATAGTTTGGGGGTTTTCTCAAGATGAAACAAGGATGTAGTAGAAACAGAAGTCACAAATTGAAAAAGCATCCATCTATAAATGTTTGAATGCCTAAGGAGGGGAGTTGATGACAACTGGAGGGAGGGAAAGTTGAAAGGCCTGGGAAGGAGAGGGCATCCTAGAATGCTCATTCCAGCTGAAGGGGGCAACAATCAGTTCCTGAGGAAAAGGAAGGGAGACAGGGCTAGTTCTCAAAAGTTGGCCATGAAAAGCAGCTGTGGAAAAGTCCTTTAATGGGAGAAATTCTCATCTGTTGTAATAACCACCAGAGGCCTACATCCTTAACAGAAGACATGGCAAAAGAGCTGACCTCCCACTCACCAATTGAAATCTTCTACTTCTTCCTCTTAACAGTGCCCACTCACCTAAGTGACTTGAGATTTTCCTCCCTGCATCCAAAGCTCCTCTTTCTCACACATGAAGATCAGGTCTGATATGGGATTTTAACAACCTGAAAGAAGATAAGTTTCAAGATTTCAGGTCATCTGCTTAGGGTAGGGGCCTCTGATGCTGAGAAAGGGGCAGCTTCAGGGACTGCACTATAGCTGCCCACTTCCATGTTGGCCAGGTCTGATCATTCTACTGGGGAGGCAACAAAGAGGAATATGCCATCCCTGAGCATTGCTAGTACTTCAGAAACAAGAAGTTCCCAGATAACTTTTCCTTAGCACCCAGGCTAACCTTATGGGTGGGACCATCATGTTGCTGCAGGTCAAGTGACACTGGAGGATGACACTGAAGACTTGATTTGACAGGAGTGGTAGCACCTGGACCCTGCTCAGAGGACTGTGTATGGAGAAGTGCTATAGAGAATCAGCCACCTAATCTCTGGGGAAGGCAGGCCTATATAGGGAATTTGATGAAATTGTGTCTAGGTTTTGAAAGCCACCTTCCTCCCTCATCCTTCAATGCCACTGATCCTGCAACAACACATGCTGGCTCCAT